TTTATTTTTTTTTATTTTTGGGACAGACAGAGACAGAGCATGAACGGGGGAGGGGCAGAGAGAGACGGAGACACAGAATCGGAAACAGGCTCCAGGCTCCGAGCCATCAGCCCAGAGCCCGACGCGGGGCTCGAACTCAACGGACCGCGAGATCGTGACCTGGCTGAAGTCGGACGCTTAACCGACTGCGCCACCCAGGCGCCCCTCAATTTTTTATTTTAAAACAGTCTTAGACTTACAGGGAAAAGTTGCAGATAGTACAAAGAGTTCCTGTATACGCGCACCCAGCTTCCCCTGTTGCTAGCATCCGTGTTGTACTGTGGTACGTTCATCGTCACCGATGGACCCATGTGGCTACGTCGTCATGAGCTCAAGGCCGTTATGTATTCAGATTTCCCTAGTTTTTGTCTAATGTTCCAGGATCCCATCCGGGATGCCGCATTACATTGAGTCACCCTGTCTCATTCAGTTCCTCTGGACCGGAAGACTTTCTCAGACTTGCCTGGTTTAAATTCCTGACGACAGCCCTTGCGCGGTTAACTGCCGTGGCCGGAATTCACCGTGCCGAGTTAGGAACCTGCATGTTCCTCTGACCTGCTTTCCCGACAGTGTTTATGTTCAATACGTGAAACCGATTTTAAGCTGGTTCGACGTTGTTCTCGCTCGCTCTTTTTTCCTAACCTCATCTCATTACAGTTCGGGAACTATTCCCAGGGGCAAACCCAGAATCAGAGCTCGTGTTTTGCCACTAGGATCATCCCTGGGTTACACGGGCCTGTGATGACAGTAATGGGCTTTCAGAGTGTCTCTCGGTGCCTACCTCCACTGTGGCTTCCCCATTTTACTCTTTATATCTAAGATCGACAGAAGGTAACAGTCCTTCGGTCCCCCTTCCCGAAACGGGGTTTTCGTATTGTCGAGGAGGGAGAGAACGAGAGGTTCGTTTCCCTTGGTGTTGCTCGGACAGCGAGATGCCGCCCACCTGGAGGAAGAGGAGGCTGGCTGGGTGCGGACAGGGCGGGAGGAGCGGGGCTCCGAAGCGGGAGCGGTTGTCAGAGTCCAGGGGGAGAGAGGGCACCGGCCGTCCGCATCCCCCGATTGTGGCTGCTCAGGGAGAGGAGTGAGCGAACCAAGGAAGGCGGGAATAAGCCCGCGTGCGAAAGTCACAGATGGCTCCGGAGAGTTCCCGATGAGCAGTTTCTCGAAGGATGGGGTTTCGGTGCTGGACGCACGTGGCTCTCCCGGACCCGTTCACTGACGTGCCTCCGTTCTTTCCCACAGAGAACGTCAGCAGTGAGGAGAAAGCCAGAAAGAACGCCACCAAGCCCCTGCTGGACGAGGTCGTGCCTGTGTACCGGCGGGACTGTCACGAGGAGGTGTATGCCGGCAGCCACCAATACCCAGGGAGAGGAGTCTACCTCCTCAAGTTTGACAACTCCTACTCTTTGTGGAGGTCAAAGTCGGTCTACTACAGAGTCTATTATACTAGATAAAGATGGTGTCGCAGAGTCTGGAGTCTAGGGTTGGGCAGAAGATTGCACTTGGTTCGGAATTTCTTTTGACTTTTGTGGAGCATTGCAGTCAGCGTCTCCCCTTTTGATTTTGGTCTGATGGTCCGTGAACTCTCGTCGGGACTCAGGGTTTCCTTGAGACTCTAGCATTAATCCTCTGGGGTTAGAGGGAGTCCTCGGACCCGTCTGGCCCTTGGGTGCCGACCGGCAGGGTGGCTAGTGGATGCAGAAGTTACGCGAGCTACGTGTGAAATCTATAAGGTCTCCGAAATAAAACCTCCCCACGTTGACCCCACCCGGCTGACGGTGAGTCCATTGCTGCCCGCTGCATGCGGTTGACGAGAGCCCGTGGTCACGGTGACCTCGGATCGGAAATCCTTACGTTCGCAGTCTGCCTGAGGTGCAGCTGACTTGGACGAAGGTCATCGTTTTGAAATGAAGGTCATCGTTTTGAAAACTTACAGACTCAAGACCCCACAGGTTATAATAGAAAAGTTGCCTCGATTCGCTTTTGTTCTGAACGACCCAGATTGTCTTTGCATTGAGTACGCCGTCTAGTTCAGAGGCCTATTACAGAGAATTATTTTCCGAGATAATCTTAAGAACGTTCAAAGCCGATTGGTAATTGAACCGTCAAGACACACAACACCTCAGAGGTCCATGTTGTTAGCGGGCCTCTGCAAACTCGGGTCCTTTTCTCTCCCTCCGGGACTCCCCCCTACCGGTGACAAAGCAGAATTAATTCATTTTTGTCTCGATTTGGCTTTGTAGAGCATCTCAAATTGAACCTGTTTTCTACACGAGCATATAGTTAGGGGGTTTTGTAAACTCAAATTGACACTTACTGAATTAAAGTATGTAAAATCACTTCAGTACAATTGAGTGTATGGGGAATAACGTTGCACTACAAGGAAATCACTGCCAGAGACAGTCTGTTTTCCTTTCCTGTGTTCATGCTTAGGCACGAACCCTACCCAGTTCCGGTGGGGAATTGCGTACTGGAGAGAATTGGAAAAACAGATGCCCATGCTTCAGTTGTTCTATAGCTTTAATCTGCATTATGTCTTTGTAGATGGGAAGAGGACACCTTCGTGTCCCTTACCGAGAACATATATGGATAAACAGCTGCAAGTTGGTAGAAGTGATGGACTAGCGTAGAGATTCTTGTTTTCAGGAGGGAGGGTGGTGTAGATAGAACGTGACCGAGACGGCACTACACACGAAACGTTACTGGATGTTGTTACTGAAATACTTAGATTTTTAGATTTTTAAAACTTCAGATCTTAAATCACTTCTTGTAGGAGGGTCTCCGTTGATTAAGCTGCGTTCTATACAGTTCACTACACGAGGGGCTGTTTGTCGTGTGTGCGTTTCTTTTCTGGTTTTTAATACCTGGTTTTGTACATACCTAACCCTCTTCTCTTTTGGTTATTCGGAAACTGGATTATTTTCTCCTCTGAGCAGTGCTTGATTTGTGTTCTTTAATTTGGATTCACTGGTTCCAGCTCAAAGATGTCCACACCGTTCTGTCCAGAACACGTTCAGGCTGTCCATGCGCGTGCGCGTACGTACGGTAGAGGAACCATGGGGTTAGGCGCTTCTTGGCTTTTTTTTTTTTTTTTTAACGAGAAAATATTGTATTTAAAATGTAAAATAAACTTTTAAAAAGCAGGCACTAATATATATTTCTTCCAGCCTTTGAGTACAGATTTGTTCTTGCCCATGTTAAGATAAATCGTCTTCTGCAAAGACCCTCGTTCTCGGGAGCAGTTTATGTCACTTTACGTAGCGGTGGTTCGTCATGTGCTCACGTCAGAACAGTTTTGGTTTTAGACTTTTCTATTGCCTTTGGCTGTTGATTAGTACAGTACAAGTGCGATTTCAAAAAGATCTTGAAAATAATATATTTAATCAATTAAAATGTTTATCTGTAACCTGTTGATGTTTCATTGATACCGTTACTCTCGGAAGCGTTAGTTCCGTATTGCCTCATTTTAGACGGACCAGAAGAGATGTCTAAATGATCTTTCCTGTTTTAAGAAGTTAAAAACCAACAACAAACTATTTCTGACTGATTATTGATAGTTTTTGCCATGAATTATCCCGGTGAGTGAAAATAGACTTTGAACTTTCCAGACTTATGACGGAAAGACTTCTTGAGGACGTATAAAATCGTTTTCCCTGTACAACCACGTGCGTAGCGCATTCCTTGAAGGACGTGGGGACCACCCGCTTTCAAATAGCTCCTGAGGTGTGACGCCCGAGAAGTACCCATCAGGGGAGTTCCCCGGTCCGTATCACGCGGAGTGCCAGAAACTCCTCTAAAAATGACCCCACTGAGACGCAGGGCCACTCGGACCTTAAATTTAAATTCTGTTTGGTTGAAACTTGGAGACACAGAATGAGGTGGTCATTCTGAGCTGTTGGGGTTCCGGGAAGCCAGACCAGAGAACAGCTGAGAGCTGTTGATGTGTGAGCACATCCTGGACCGTGCCGCTGAGCCTTGACCGTCTGCCTTCCGGAAGAGGAGAAGCAGCCGGTTCGAAATACGTGACTGCTGATAATTCACTGGCAGTCTGCAGCCAAACCTGTCTTTCCCCAAGCTCAATCCAGCACTCCTGTCTGCCGCCCAAATATGTGTGCATGTGATCTACTCGGGGTAGAGCGAATCTTAACTTTATTTCCCTTCACTTAATTTTTCAAAAATGTGTACTGATCAGAGTTGCAGTTTGATCTCGCATATTATTTGCCTAGGATTCTTTGACCTTCTTATTCAAAGTTTTTGAAATCAACTTGGTTATTGTCCTTTTGACACCCTTATTTTGAACTTATTCCATGATCGCTGTCTCAGGTACTTAACTGTTTTGCCCGATTTCTCTTGTAACGAAAGAAGCATTGGCTCCATTTCCATTAGCTGACGTGCCCCTTAGTAGGTTGTGATTTGATTAGGATACTTAATCTAAGTACCGGGAAACCAGCTGGCTGGCTTCTCCAGAATTGACCTTGGCATTTGGACTCAGGCCATCACACGTGGGATAACAGTATGTAAACCGGAGCACTTAACTCCTTCCTTGTAGTTCTCTAACCAGGCCTTAAGTGTGATTGCCCAGTTCAGCCTGGCGCTGAACTGGCAACTTGCAAGTCTGTGAAGAGAGCAGGTACAAATTTGATTACAAGTGCTGATTTGTTTTAACCTTTCTTTAATGTCGTGTCTGTACAAGTCCAAGTTTTTCCCCTTTGCCAAGATCACTAACTTAAATATCTCGTTGAAGGTGACATAACTTTTTTTTTTTTTTTTTTTTTTTTTTTTTTTGGTGTGGCAAAATAGAGAAATGTAAACCTGGTTTTTGTAAGGCCTGCGTTTTGCAACTTTTAAAATTCCAGTCTGTGTTAATGGGGGATTTTCCTTTTACTAAGTGTAGGTCTGCCGTGTTCTTGCCATCGGCTGGGTCTCTTCCACAGAGTGCTTCTTTGGCCATTTTTCTGTGAATTGAACCTTTGAGGTTGCTTCTGATTTTTCATCCTAAGTGCTGTTCCAGTGAGCATTCTTTTACGTGTCTTTCCGCACATCTGTAGATACTGAGGAGTGAGGACTGCTGGATCATGAGTTCTGTGCATTTTTAATTTTAATACACCCTGCCAAATTGTCCTCCAGAGTGGCTGAACTAATTTCCCCTCCAGCTCCATAGTGTCCGAGAAGATACTGCTTTTTCCAACCCTTGATATCATCAGACTTCAGTCTAAGTCTATCCGACGGGTGAAAGATGAAGTTTCATTTTCATGTGTGTTTCCCTGATACACAGAAGCATCAATTTTTATTGGTCCTTTGTATTTCCTCTCCTATAAATTGCCGGTTTGTGTCCTTTGACCCATTTTTCAATTAGATCGTTTTTATATGGATTTATTAGCATTAAAAATATAGGCTGTATGCTTGGGGCGCCTGGGTGGCACAGTCGGTTAAGCGTCCGACTTCAGCCAGGTCACGATCTCGCGGTCTGTGAGTTCGAGCCCCGCATCAGGCTCTGGGCTGATGGCTCAGAGCCTGGAGCCTGTTTCCGATTCTGTGTCTCCCTCTCTCTCTGCCCCTCCCCCGTTCATGCTCTGTCTCTCTCTGTCCCAAAAATAAATAAACGTTGAAAAAAAAAATTAAAAAAAAAATATATATAGGCTGTATGCTAATCATTCATTAGATGTAAGTATTTCTTCCAGTTTCTTGCAGGTCTGTTAATTTTGTTTGTGGCGTTAGGTGTGTTTATACGTGTCTGTGTTTGGTCGTAGACATTCTAAACCACATTGTTAGTTTTATTCAGCTTTTTCGTTTATGACTTCTGTTTGTGTCCATAGATAATATATATGTATATCTATATATATCTGCTTCTGAGCTCTGTCCCATTTATCTGACAATTCAGTGTGCTAATACTATAAATTACTATAGTTTTAAAATACATTTTCATGCAAGGCAACTCTCCCCTGGTTTTTTTTTTTTTTTTTTTTTGATGCTTTTTCTTTACTATTTTGAACCATTTTTCTGTATGAACATTTAATCATTAGCCTGTCATATGTCATGAAAAACCTTCGTGGGATTTACTTTGGAATATTGTAGTACTTTCTAGGTTGATTGAGAGAGCTTAGATTGCCTTCATAGAAGATTGAGGGGTGCGTGGGTGGCTCAGTCGGTTAAGCATCTGACTTTTTTTTTCTATTTAAAAAAAATTTTTTTTTAACGTTTATTTATTATTGAGAGACAGAGCATGAACAGGGGAGGGGCAGAGAGAGAGGGAGACACAGAATCGGAAGTAGGCTCCAGGCTCTCAACTGTCAGCACAGAGCCCTTCGCGGGGCTTGAAGTCACAAACTGCAAGATCATGACCTGAGCCGGAGTCGGACACTTAACCGACTGAGCCACCCAGGCGCCCCTAAGCATCTGACTTTTGATTTTGGCTCAGGTCATGATCCCCAGGGTCATGAGATCTAGCCCTGTGTTGGGCTCCATTTTGGGCGTGGAGCCTGCTTAAGATTCCCTCCCTCCCTCTCTGCCCCTCCTCTGTTCATGCATACACGCACCCATGTGTGCTCTCTTAATTTTTTTTTTAAGTTTATTTATTAAAAAAAATTTTTTTTAATGTTTGTTTATTTTTGAGAGAGACAGAGACAGAAAGTGAGTGGGTTAGGAGCAGAGAGAGAGGGAGACACAGAATCGGAAGCAGTCTCCATCCAGGCTCTGAACTGTCAGCACAGAGCCCGACACGGGGCTCAAACTCACGAGCCGTGAGATCATGACCTGAGCCGGAGTCGACGCTCAATCGACTGAACCACCCAGGCGCCCCTTAAGTTTATTTATTTTTGACAGAGACAGAGTGCGAGCATGAGCTGGGAAGGGGTAGAGAGAGAGGGAGACAGAATCGGAAGCAGTCTCCATCCACGCTCGGAGCTGTCAGCACAGAGCCCGACACGGGGCTCAAACTCACCAACCGTGAGATCATGACCTGGGCCGCAGTCGGACACTCAACCGGCTGAGCCACCCAGGCGCCCCCTTAAATTTTTTTTTAAACGATAAATAAATAAACGATTGATAGTTCCATGTCCTTAGGTGGTATTTTCAGTAGCAGAGATGGAAAACGCAGCCCTGTAGCGGTCTTCCCTGCCATCATTAGTTATGATGCGGGCTAACCTGGGACAACAGAGGCTCGAAAATAAAGTAGCTCAAATAAGATCATTTGATCTTACGAACAGGCCAGAGGAGGCAGGCAATGCAGGGCGAATCTGTCTGGTACGTCATGAGGTGAGTGAGAGCCCCGAGTTTCTCTTAATTTTATTTTAGAGAGAGTGGGGGAGAGGAACAGAGACAGGTTCAAGCAGGCTCCGTGCTCAGGGCAGAGCCTGACGCAGAGCTCAATCCCGTGACCCTGGGATCGTCCGAAATTAAGGGCCCAGATGCTCAACCGAGTGAGCCGCCCAGGCACCGCCCCCAGGTTTCTTTAATCTTGTTTCTCCACAGCACCATCCCCTGGGACGGTGGTGTTTTGTGTGCATGGTTAGAAGCAGACCTGCCTAGGGGCGCCTGGGGGGCTCAGTGAAGCATCCAACTCATGGTCTCACACAGGCCATGATCTCACGGTTTGGTTTGTGGGATCGAGCCCCATGTCGGGCTCTGTGCTGACAGCGCGGAGCCTGCTTGGGATTCTCTCTCTCGCTCTGTCTCAAATAAATTAAAAAACCAAAAAGCAGGCTTGCCTGGAACACATTTCCGCTTTGGGGGTGGGGTGCGTGCCCACTATTAAGGAGAGAACCCTCACTTCTCTTCCTTTTCCACCCACAAGTACTGAGTTCCATGGCGCCCTCTAGCTGCAGACTCACGCCCAGCCAAAACTCAAGACACGGCGTGTCTGCTCTGAAAAAGGAGTGGGTTCCAGTGGACAGACTGCATTTGTCAGGTGAGTGTTGAAACACGTAGCTCGTTAATTTTTTTACCATCACAAGAGTCCTACTCACTTGTTGTGGAAAATTTAGACAGTATATACAGATGAAAAGCATAAAACTAAAATTATAAACTTACCACTAAGAATAGCTGTCATTTGGGAATGTCCTTCTGGTCTTTTTTCCCCCTAATTTTCAGTTAACAAAAATCTAGCATTCGGAAAAGTATGCAGTATGAGACTCACGTACCTACCACCCACACTGGTCACATTTGCCTTTTTTTTTTTTCTTTGCCTTCTGTGCTTCAGAGCTTGTCTAAGTATTAAAACGTTAATGAGGGGCGCCTGGGTGGCGCAGTCGGTTAAGCGTCCTACTTCAGCCAGGTCACGATCTCGCGGTCCGTGAGTTCGAGCCCCGCGTCGGGCTCTGGGCTGATGGCTCAGAGCCTGGAGCCTGTTTCCGATTCTGTGTCTCCCTCTCTCTCTGCCCCTCCCCCGTTCATGCTCTGTCTCTGTCC